AAAACAATTAAACGGTCGAATTTTGAAAAAAACGTTCGGATTCATAAACCAACCACCTTCTTTAATGCGTAAATGTTTCATTTCATGTTACATTAAGGACAATTTGTTTTGCTTTCTTTCGTTTTGAGCATTGTTTTTTTTAGTTCAGCTTCTTATGTTGTACGAAAAAAAATGTTTGCTTCCTAACACATAAGCTGATACACGCATTTGTTGTACACGTTCTCAATTTTTTTATAAATCGTACTCGGAAAAATTGAACAAATTGCAGACTTGTATCATATATAGCTGAAAGAAGTATTGTGTGTTCAGTGTTGATGTTAGTGCATCACGTAGAGGGCCAAGTTCATAAGTCTTCTGATCGTCCTGACCATTTCAAGCAGCTCTCTCAAAGTGAAGTCYTTTGCTAATAAACCCAATCCCTTAAAGTACTTGTAGTATACCAGCTGTGATGTACAGTTGTATTTAAAAGCAAACTACATTGTTGTGCATGTTTTTCTTTGTACTGTATCCCTTTTCAGTGTATCCCAGTTTGTTATTTTCACCTTGTTTGATGTGTTTTTGAAAATTGATCACTCCATGTTGTACATTTCTCTATAACCTTGAACTTTGGGATTGGGATATCTTTGATAATGCTAGTCATATGGTTACAGGGACGTCAACTCTCCCGGATTTGCCGGGGGACTCCCGGTTTCAGATCGAATCTCCCGGTCTCAAGATTTTAGCCCTAAATCTCCCGGATACGCATGATATTTTCATAGAATGATATTAATTACTAACCATCATTTTTGATTTTGATTTTGATTTTATTTTTATGTCATGTTTCCTCGATCTTTCGATACGGAACGAAATACCTACAGGCATTGCTTATGTATACTTGCGCATGAAAAATATATAAACTGATTATGCAACGTTATTTGTGACGTCATTCACATAATCGAGGCAATTTCTCCAGATATATAAAGCTCTGGGGTTGACATCCCTGTGGTTAAGCATTTGGATATTTTCTCCTGTCAGTTGTGTCAGCAACATTTTTATWTTTGATAATTGTTTATTTGCATGAGTGACAGGCCAAAACTTTTCATTAGAAATTTTGAAATTCTTGGTCAAAAATGCTTTTTTTATATGATTGCATGTGTACTCCAGTCTCTAAATTACGGTGGTCCATAACTGTCATGGCAATACCAAATTTCACGACACAACACAATAAATAAAAATCACGGCACTACACAGAATTTCACGGCGCTACACAATATTTTCTGCATCCTCAGTTTTACAAGTTGTTGTGAGTTCCAGTGTTATTTGGTCTTTTTGCTCTAAACTTCACTTTGAGACTTGTCTCTCTGAACCAAACAAACTCTGAAAATTGTTAATAGGAAAAAAAAACTAGAGTTAAATATTAGTTAAGTAGACTTAAATATTAGTAACACAATTACATTGTACATGTACTATTTTATGCTAGACTTTTTTGAATTTTGTTTTCTTTTGTTCAACTACCACTTAATTTTGTGCAATTTAATAATAAATATTTCACGTTTTTAGAGTGCTTACTGTGAAGCAGTGATTACCAAATTGTGGAAAATAGTACTAGTYGAAGAAAACAAAACAAAGGAATTTGAATAAAATAGGAAACTACAAAATAGTATGACTTATTTTTCATGCTTTTACTAAAAGCACTCTACTGAAAGGACTCTACATTGTACATCTCCTCTTGTTGTGATTTTTGTAGGAAAAAGGAAATAGATGAGTTATTGATGTCAATGATTGAAGCAAGAGAAGAAAGCAATAAAGATGATCAGGCTGCAAATGGGACACTTGACGACAAGAAGGAAATTGAGGAGGAAGATTTAGAGGTAAATTACTGTTAAAGATGCTTGAAAGTTGGATTAAGACCCATTATTAAAAAATACATAAAATCCAGTCAAAATTAACTTTATTTCCTAAAAAACACCTCTTTGATTTATGAAAATTCAGCAAGAATGTGGTAGAAAAGAGTTACAATCAGCAAGGGTAAATAACCATGTTAAATTTGTCTAGGTTGATGCACTTCAGAGTGCAATGATAAGTAAATAGTAAATGTAATTACTGTATTATAAACAGTAACCGGGTTCGATTCCTGGGCATGGACCATATATGAGTTTGAGTTTGTTTGATGTGTTGTTCTCTCCCTTGCCACGAGGGTTTTTCTCCGGGTACTCCGGTTTTCCTCCCTCAGTAAAAATCAACATGTGAGGAGTGTTGTGTGCTAAAATAATTAATGTAGAGGTAGTGAGTGTGAGTGTGAGGGCCACAAGTTCATCAGTTCTTTACTGTCACGTGTTACCCTCGTAAAATAAAGTCGAAAAAGAAACCAATACCTAGCAAAAGTCATTTTGTCTGCCATAGTTTAGGTTCAGGATTAGGTTTAGTGATAATTTAAACAGTGATAGTCTTGACTAGTGGGTGTGTGCAAATTTGTTACAGCTGGGAATGTACAATATTCAGGCATGTTGGAATTATGTGCGGAAAAAATCAAAATTGTGCGGAATTTTTTCCCCATATTATGCGGAGAAAAGGGTAAATTATGTTGAAAATTATGCTGGATGACATCATCACAGGAATGTAAACTTTGGGAAATTTTACATATTTTTCTAAGGTTATTGTGTTTGTTTTTCATGCAAAACTCTGTTTTTATCTTATTTACGAAATATAGAAGGCAGTACCAACCGAAGGAAAGATCTTTTTTTAGACTTTTTCGTTCTCGCACGCTTTACGTCCCACTTGTATCATCCAACATATTGGAATTTGTCACGTGATCTGGTAAGGCACAGGGTGACCGCTAATGCTAGTGCCCAGACTCTTTTYTGATGAAATTCTGAACGCCTGGTACATTTGTGAAGCCAATGAAAACAAAACTATTTTCGGAAAATTATAAGCATGTTTTTGATCAAAAAACAGTCAAGGGACCCCAAAAAACATTAGTAGAAGGCAATTCATCTTAAAAAATGGTATAACATGGAAAAAAATCATGAATTATGCCGGATTATGCGCGATTTGGTAAATTATGCGGAAAGGGGTCAATTATGCGCGTCCGCATCCGCACATAATTCTGACATACCTGAATATTATAGTTGAAGCCTTACTATAGTCGAAGCCTTACTCAAAACAGACAAAATTACACTTCAGATGGTTAAAATTCTATATCATGTTGAAACTATAGCTTGTGAACACACACTAAAATTAACAATGTAACATTGATATTTAGTTGGAAATTTTTTTAAATTGATTTTGCTAATATCATGGATTTTGTCCAGCGTGAATTCAAAATACCTTATCTACTTTTCTGCAGACATGGTGACAATGTTGATATTTTTATTGTGCAGTTTATGGGTTTCCTGAGACAGGTACATCATGGACAAACACTGCTTACACACAGCAACACTGCATGTTGGTCCATGAAAAAAGACTTGATTGGTTTAGTCTATTTCCCCTGAAAAATGCTGCTCAGCTCACATAGCTAGTTTATTTAATCTGCATTGTTAATTTATACATAATTCTACCAAATCTTGATAGGATGATGATAAACCTCCTCCAAAAAAGGCCAAAAAAGACAAAAAGACAGAACCAAAACCTGCCAAGAATAAGGTGATTTAGTAATGGCTTTATACTATATGCCCACACGACGATCCCAATTCAAAGCAAGTGACTTACAGTATTGTAAATAAGGTTTATAAGTCAGAGAGTCATGCAGTTATTTAATAAAATGACAAAGGTCACTTTTTTTGAATTATGGGGAAAAAAAATTCAGGTCTTTAGGGAAATTCCAGTACATTTTACACTTTACAGTTAAATAATGTGGAAATGAACAAAATTGTCGGACATCAAATAAATGTAATTTAATGATTCATTGTAATTAATGTAATTTTGAGGATTATCAATCTAAATTTGAAGATAATAAATAATTTAGTAAGATTAAGAATAAATAAGATTAAAGTAACAGTGATCCCTATTTCACTTTGTCTAGAGTGATGACGATGACGATGATGATGCAGAAGTTGCTAGAAAACTACAGGAAAGTGAGAAGGGATTGAGGAAAAGAAAACAGCCAGCAAAAAGAACACCTGTAAGTTCACTGTCAGCTTCACTGACAGGATGTTAAGTATGCTGAAATGTTTGTTTCCATGGCTGAGTTGAGTAAGCACAGACTACAGCTGTATAATTTTCCTTTTTTCTGCTGTCATCAGAAATCTACACCCAAGAAAACAACTGGAGAAAAAAGCAGAACAGGTTTGTTGATGTAAAGATGTATTTATGCTCAAATAAAGCAACATTCTAGTGGAACTTTCCATTTTGCATTGTATTTGGGATACCTGTTGTAGCCTGTGGCAGGAAGATAAGAGTCTGTCATACGGCTTCCATATATGGTTGTCCTTGTGCATGGTTTGTCCTATAGCACTATAGAAGGTTCATTAATTGTATACTTAATCTAATTTACCAACTTAAATCCATATATTTTCTTTTGAACTTGGAAGTCACATGTTTTAATGATTTCTTCTGTAAAGAAAGCCTTACAAGTACATTTAAAAACTGGTTGTGTAGAGCAATCAAATTGTTTGTGATGTCTGTAACATTTCCATTTTTTTTCAATTATAAAGGTTTTGGAAAAATGATGGTTTTATCTCCAGATCTTGCAAAGATTGTTGGTGCAGATCAGGTTAGTAAGTGTACAACAGTTAATGGGTACTAAATATCATTAAAATTCATAGTACTCATTCACGCTTTTAGAGTTCAAACAGTGCTACATGTAAATAGAGCAATATGAATAGTGTCAATAAGTAGTGTCGATAAGCCAATAGAAAATGAAGGAATTTACATAATTCTGTCAAGTTAAGAGTATTTAATTGCCTTTTTTTACAGTTTTATTCCGACGTCACGGTACATGTATGCTTACATCGGAAAACGATGTTCAAAAACTGGAAATTTCGACCCATTTATATTTTCTCCTAAAGATTCTTGATTCTTCTCAAGAACTTCAATCAATTGTGAATTTATATATATATATATCATGTATAAATGATGCTAGCGTACATTTTATTTGATATTCTGTCTGATCCCCTCTGGCGACCATAATCCTTAGCGTTAAAACAACAGAATGTTTTGATGTGACATCATAATAAATAAATTAATACTGCTACTGGCGCAATATAATGTGGATTAATTTAGTGATTGTACTCTATGACAACGTTTTGTCAATGGGCTGTATATTGAGAAGGAGTTAGAACAATTGAGATGGTATACAAGGGAACTGGGAAAAACCAGCGCATCATTGTATTAAGCATTTTTATCGTTTTCAAGATGGCTCGCTCAGACGTTGTCAAGAAAATGTGGCAAATAATCAAAGAAAGAAATTTGACAGTAAGTACAGAGCGTGCATTATTGATAGATCAATGAAATGATGCCCACTTACCTATCCTTCGTATCCAGTCTCTCCTCTTATAACTAAACATATGCAATTTTAATTCCTTTTTTAATTTTTTCAGGATCCTAAAGACAAAAGATTCCATATATGTGATGATGAACTGCTCAAAGTATTCGGTGAGTTACATGCCTAACAGCTAGTGTCCTGTGATGAATTGCTGTATGGTTTCACTTTGCTGTAGGACTTTTTTAAACGCTTTAAAGAAATGATAATTTCCGGCTGCTTTGTCGATATAGTGTAGGGCGAAAGGAACTATTGTACGTTTCCAACGTTAGTCCTTTTAATTAATCAAGTTTTCTCTCTTTTTACGGAGTACAATGTCTTAAGAAAATAATGATTTTACAACTGTAGGACGCGATTTTTTCAAAAAGAGTGCCCTCTATATTTTGTACTCTGAGGCACGGCTTTGATATGTGTAGATAATATCATTCCTTATTCTAATATATCATTATTCTCATTCATTAACCTTAAGAAGTCTGTTTTTTTTACAGACGAAATTTAGGTGTTTAAATAACGTCGTGTATCTTCGATTGTGTTCAATTAAGAAATCTGTTCAGGATTGAATTGTGTTCGGGAATTTAATTACTCCAAATCAAAGTCCCATTCTCATGTACAGTGAAATACCGCCACTCCACGGTTAAACCCTCATACTTTTCTGCCTGGGCACCCATTAAATACGAACGTGTTTCTATATCTGTTCGGTGACCGGATAAACGAGGTTCCACGTACCAATGTATTGTCATTTTTATTGCAGGGAAAAAGAGAGTTCAAACTTTCTCGATGATGAAATACCTCAAACAGCACGTCAAAGACCCATCTTTGATTACTTAATTTTATTTTTGACTGAGACGTACCATTCTAAGTGGAAGGTCATTTTCTGTAAGCATTGTGATGCTGTCACAAAGGAACCATTTGTAGATAGAGACAGTAGTAAATTAATGTATAGTGATAGAGTCGTCTTTACACTTTAGTTCCTGTTGTCGAGAAGTCACTTTTAATTTTAATTTGTACATCAGACTTTTTAACAATTTATGGATTATGAATTTAAAAATTTTCGAACATCGAATGTATGTAATATTTCTCCTTAAAAGATGTCACTCATCGAATTCTCAACACCAGGAACATCTAGTAAGAGAGATAGTAAAGGAGTATGTTTTATACGAGTAAGCCAAGTGCAAACGCAAATGCGATTTTCAAAAGACTACATAAATGTTTGTGTCTTGCACTTGCACTTACTCATTGAAAATGCAAGCGAAAGCCATCGCAAGAAGATGATCGTTATTTGTTTAACGTTATGTTCTTTAACGGGAAGAAAGCTGACATGGGAAAGTCGTGTTTCTTCCCTAGTCATGACATATCGGCGCCATTTTAAATGTCCTTTATGTTCACTAAATCACAATCAACCGCTGTACCTTGCGAGCCGAAGCGCCATTTTAGATAGACATTCGTAGGATTTCTTAAAGTGAGCGCGAATCCTCTTCCATCCTTTCAGTTTGAGCAGAAATACCTTTAGCTAAGTACCTCACAGGTACTATCAATCTATAATCTATTGTATGCTTGACGCATTTAAACGTATGTAAATAATAACACGAGCGCGCGCTGTATTGTGGTTGGTTGGGACTCTTTAAATACGGCTCGGATGGAGTTTGAATGTTGATGAAAAAATCGTGCTTTCAGTAGATATGACTTCCCGTGATAGTGTATTTGCATTGGTAGTAGACGCTGTTGTCGACACCAGTTAGCTCTGGGTTTGAAGTAATATTAGGACCAAAACCATAATAACATTATCCAATCAATTTATAAAGGTTAAAACAAACTTATAAAAGTCTATTTTGATAATGTGGATTAGCATAAATATGAGCTCAGATGTATCGACATTTTTTGCAATTTTTAATCAACCAAATCGTCACCTGATTGAAAGTAATACCGATCAGTTTTAGTTTTCAGTACAAAATAGGCATTGATGATAAGAGGATAGAGGGAAGTCACGATTTTTGTATACGTCTTTGCAGTTCGCTGTTTTTCTTGTTTATGAACACAACGTTGTCTGTACTAAAGCGATTTTTCTTCGAGTGAAACGAAAATGACATTTTTTTTCGCTAGGGGCAGATCCAGGATTTTCCTCGATGCAGGGCATTCGAAGAGGTTGAACAAAAGTGATCACAGAAAGCAAAAAATATAGGGGGGAGAAGTATAGTAGGAAAGGGTACAAGTCAGTAGAGGGTGCGCACTCCTTGCACCCACGTGCTGGATTCACCCGTGTCGTCTGTTGTTATTCACAGGTTTAATGAGTTTGCTTCCTAGACGATTGATATTCATAAAGCCGTGAAATAGCACGAGGGCATCCAACATTACAATAATTACATTTCATCGTTTTTCAATTCCATTGTTTTATTTTGTAGGTTTTTGACTAGTATTCTTAGGCTGTTAAGGCTGATTTACACGGCACGATTGTCTCGTGCGACTTGTAGTATACGACTTGAATCGCGTAGTGTAAATGCCCCTACGACTTGTCTACAACAGTCGTACGCAACCTACGACTTGTAGTAGGGTTTTGAGCCACTGCTTAAAATCCTACGACTTGTAGTAGGAAAATCGTATRCTACAAGTCGYRCGCGACARATCGTACCGTGTAAATCAGCCTTTAGTGATTTTGCTTCACGGTTTTGATTGACAGTACCTCTCCGCGGCAGGCACTATTACGTCACGTGGTCGACTGTCCACCAATGAGGGAAGGGGAAAATTTGCTGAATTATCATGTGTGATAGTCAAATATAGTAGTTATACTGTTTTGCTTTGTGTTTTCAATCGGGTTATCGCACTTTAGTATCCTTCGTTCTGATTGGCTACGCTAATCGGGGTCTATTTTCAATAGTCCTCGACTAGCGAAAAACGACTCAACTTTTTGCGTATTTTTGGCAATAAAAACACATATATTTCATTCATTTTTTGTCCAACTAGTATGGTAATACTAAAACAGTTAGATCTCTCGGCTTTCGTTTGACGGGTTTATGAAAACAACTCCAATCTTTATCATTTTAGTGATGAATAACACTTTAGTTAATAGAGAGAAGCCAAAAAAACCCGAGAAATAGATATTGTAAAAAGACACCTCAGTACGCTTCTAAATGTATTGTTTTCTTTTATGTCTATTTGACTATCACACTTTAATGGTGAACTTTTGTTTCACGGATTTAAAGACTTCACTCTTTGTTTCCTGTGTTCCTACGTAGTTTATGCTAGTAGAGGCTAGTAGATGCTAGTAGAGGCTAGTAGAGGCTAGTAGAGGCTAGTAGAGGCTAGTAATAACATTTTACGAATAATAGTTGTCATGTTCAGATACTAAAAATGAAAATAAAATTAACAGGCAAAGTGTTGTTATGTAATTCCTCGGTACACGAAAGGGAGTTTACCTACCGTTTGAGAAAACTACTCGATCAAAAGGTTTTAGCATTCGTTTTAAGGATTCAGTTTATAAAAGTCTATCGGATCATTTGGGGATTTTCTTGCCCTTGCGATTTGATGTAAGTAGGTTTTGTAAAACAGAATACATATAAAAATAAATTCAATAGTAGTCTCAGTAGTCTCGAGACTCGAGGCTGCACCCCTTGCCGTTCAGCAAATGAAGCTCTAGAGTGATTGCACTTTTAAACCGTGCAACTGTACAAGCTAAATATTGCTATTTAGTTGTATTTGGTAAATCGTGCATGCAGTAGAGTGATGGCACTTAATCAGTGCAACTGTACAAACTAAATAGTTCTATTTAGTTGTATTTAGTAAATCGTGCATGCGGTATGCAAATTAAATTAAATTGATACAAATGAAGCATTCAATACCGTCTTGCTTCAGTTCTACTTTTATTACAAATTAATACTACTTAGATTTTGTACAGTTGCACGCTTTAAGTGCATCACTCTAGAGTGATCGCACTTGTACAATATCTAAGCAAGACGATATTGAATGCTTCATTTGTATCAATTCAATTTAATTTGCGTATCGCATGCACGCTTTAATAAATACAACTAAATAGAACTATTTAGTTTGTACAGTTGCACGGTTTAAGTGCGATCACTCTACTGTCTTGCTTTAGGTCCACTTCAAAGCTGCTTTGAGGCGCCACATGCAACAAGTCTCTTCTCTTGACATTTCAGCATCTCGGCTCAACTAATAATCAAGGTCTATTATTGCATCAGTAGTTCAAGACAAGACGATGTAGTACAGTATTTGTTTTTATTTATACAAGCAATAAATAAATAGGTGTATTTGCTATTAAATATTTACATCAATTCACTCTATTCAGTCCAACTGAAGAAAGTTTTAAAGTCTTTTGGCAAATTTTCTTTTATTTTATTCTCAGTTCAGTTTCTGTTTTGTGTCCTTGAATGACAAGGTTGTCCTGCTTGGCCTTATTTGTACATAAATTATTAACATATGTGATAAATATTCGTCAAAAGACTCGTTGCAACTGATAGGAAATGTATAGCGACCCCATTTTCTAGAAGAAAGCATGATGAAATAGTCTCCTTCACGGTTACCTTCGCCATCTTGAAAGGTAKCCGTGCCTTTGCATCGAAGCGAGACAACCGTTGAGCGTGCAATGATAGATACCTGTGAATAATTGTCTGTAGGTGTGAAAGAAGGTTTCTATCATTGCACGCTCAACGGTTGTCTCGCTTCGATGCAAAGGCACGGCTACCTTTCAAGATGGCGCAGGTAACCGTGAAG